TTCAGGCCCCTTGGAACACAACTGCCTAGAGTTATGGATGAGGTTTTCCCAAGCTGTCCAGATCTAACTGATCAACCTATCAGCCATACATACATTGAATACTTCACAGATGGCAGCAGCTTTGTCTGGGATGGCACATGCTTTCCGGGTATGCAGTGGTCACTCTGAGCTCAGTCATTGAAGCCTGCCTGCTGCTGGTTGAACTTCTGCACAAAAGGCTGAACTTCTCGCCCTCACCTGGGCATTCCAGCTCACTGCAGGAGTACAAGTAAACATCTACACTGACTCTAAATATGCCTTCACAACCACTCATGTCCATAGGGCCTTATATAGAGAGGACTCATTAATTCAGGAGGAAAAAATATCAAGTATGGGCAAGAAACCCTCAAACTGCTAGATGCTCTGTGGGTCCCTAAATAGGTGGCAGTTATACACTGCCAGAGGCACCAAAAGGGAGATGCAACAATTGCTTGGGGAAACCAGAAAGCTGACAGGGAGGCCAAACAAGCAGCCCTCATGAGGGGACCAGCCCCAATTGCCCTGACCACTGCCTTGTTCCCATGTCCCTTAGCTGAATGGGACCCACAGTACACATCACAAGAACAGGCTTGGTTTAAGACTGAGGAGGGAATTTTCTACTGGACAGATGGTGGAAATTTGCTGATGGCCACATCACCATTCCTGAGTCACTGGTTCCCACATTTGTTAAGCAGTTCTGTGAAGGAACCCATTCAGTGTGAACAACCCTTGAGACCATCCTGGCCCAGCACTTTTATGTCCCCAAGCTCTGCAGCATCTGTAAGGAGGTATGCAAAAGATATAGCATATGTGCCAAAAACAATCCCTGGCAGGGACTGAGAGCACCACCCCAGGTGCAAAGTGTTAGTGGGACTCCTCTTGAAAACCTGAACTTAACTTCACTGAAATGTCATGAGCTCAAAGACATAAGTATCTATTAGTGTTTGTCTGCACCCTCTTAAGATGAGTAGAAGCCTTCCCCACACAGACTGAAAAAGACTGGGAGGTGGCCAGGTGGCTGCTAAAGGAAATCATCCCTTGGTTTGGAATACCTGTGTCTATTGGCTCAGACAATGGGCCAGCCTTCATGGCTGAGGTGGTACACATGGTAACTAAGGAATCACCTGGAAGTTGCATATGGCCTACTGCCTCCAGAGTTCAGGAAAAGTGGAATGTATGCATGGAACCCTAAAATTGCAGTTGGGAAGACTGTCAGGAGACCCATCTGCAGTGAAATCAGTTACTACCTATAGCATTATTAAGGATCAGGTCTAGTGCCTTGAAGCAGACAGGGCTTTCACCCTTTGAAGTCCTTTATGGACGCCCATCCCCCTTACTCAAGAGTATATGAGGGGACCTCAAAGAAATAGGGAACCTCACCTTGAGACAGAAAATGCAGGCCCTCAGGGTGACTCTCTCAAAAATCAATGACTAGGTCCAGGAGAGACTTCCCATTAGCCTGACAACTCCCACACACCCTTATAAACCAGGGGATGGCATCTGGGTGAAGGAATGGAATGCCCAAGCTTTTAAAACCTCATTGGAGGGGCCATTTTGCTGTTATTTTGTCTACCTCCATCATAGTTAAGGTAGCAGCGATTATTCCCTGGATCCACCACAGCTGAGTGAAGCAAGTTGCTCTAGAGTGGGAGTGCATCCCTGACCAGCCTCACCGTGTAAGATCACCCAGGGGGCTATACTGGAGTTGAGGGAAGTAAGCATATGTGACACTAACCAGCAGTTGGTTTGGTCTTGCGTACTGGGCACAATCAGGCCATCCTTCTTCTTACTCCCCCTCAGGCAAGATGAGAAGCTAGGAGTTCCCATATGTGAAAAAAAATTAGGTAGACAAAAATGGGGTGCCTTATAAACTGGCAATTGGAAAGATAGTGAATGGCCTCCTGAGCAGATCATCTAGTATTACGGCCCTACTACCTGGGCAGAAGATGGGTCCTGGGGATATTGCACCCCTATATATATGCTTAACCACATTATCATGCTGCAGGCAGTTATTGAAATTATAACTAATGAAATGCAAGAACTCTCAGTTCGCTGCAAAACAAAGCACTAAAATGTGCAATTCTATCTCTCAGAACCACCTAGTTCTAGACTACCTGCTTGTCTCTGAGGGAGGATTTTGTTGAAAATTTAACGTAAGCAACTGCGGCCTGAAATTTGATAATGAAGGAAAGGTCATAGAGAAAATCACAGACAGAATGAGGAAAACTGCCCATGTCCCCATCCAGACATGGAAAGGATGAATCCCAATGACTTGTTTGGAGGATGGTTCTCTGCCTTGTGCTGATTCAAGACCCTGACAGGAGCAAAAGTTCTTATCTTGGGGGCATGTTTAATATTACCTTGTCTGGTCCTCCTGGTATTGCAGTGTATCAGGTCTATTATGAAGGCCACTATAGAAAGAAAAACAGCCACCCACATGATGATGCTATGGAAGTACAAACCCCTAAATCCAGATGATGCTCTTTGACCCTGGGTGGGTACAAGCATCAACAAAGAGGGGAATAATGGAGTAGGGAAGAGGGAACAGCATGGCAGGAAACTGAAACTTAAGGAAACTGGACATGAGAAGGGTCACGTAGCATTGAGGATAAAGTAATATCCAATATAAATGAAATAGTATGTAACCATATACTTCTGTAATCTGCTTTCAAGGGGATATAAAGCAAGTCCTCTTTGTTCTCAGGGCTCAGTCTTTGGATGTGAAGATGTGAATCACTGCCGGTACACTGAATAAAAATTGCTTCCTGAAAAGCCTTGGTGTCCCATCTCCCTGTCTGAGTATCCCGCAACAGTAGTACTGGGATTTGAACTCTGGGCCTTGCACTTGTGAGACAAGCATGCTATCAATTCAGCCACAGCTCCAGTGAGATAGGGTCTCTTCAACCAGTTGCCCCTCTGGATTCAAACTCTGATTCTCCTGATCTCTGCCTTATGAGTAGCTAGGATCACAAGTGTGAGCCACCGGCAACTGACTTATTTTTTGAGACAAGGTCTCACTATGTAGCCCAGGCTGACTTGTGATCCTCCTATCCCAGCCTCCCTTAGTGCTTCATAGCTGTGCACCAACAACTGTCTTTATCAATTTGAAAGATAACTCCATGAAGACAATTTTTTTTCTTTCAAAGAGTTGAATACATTGTTCTCTAGCTTGCACTCTGATGAGAAGTTTCCTGTAATTCCTTCTTTGTTCTTCTGAATGTAAGGTCTCTCTCCACCACACTGGCTACTTTCAAGATTTTTGCTTTCTATGTGAGGCTCTGAGTTCAAACCCCAGAAAAACAACAAAACCCGTTTCCCACAGTTTGAACATGATTTGCCTAGGTGTGTTTGTGTGCTTTTATTGCTTTCCTTGGTATTCTCTAAGCTCTGTGGATTTGGGTTCTGGCACCATTACCTTTGGAAACTTCCTGCCTATTATTTCTTCCGCCCAATTTCCTCTATGCCTTCTGGAGATCCAATTCTGAGTGTTAGAACAATGGTTACTTCCCCCACAGGTCTTGCATGCACTGTTCTTTTTCTTATTCCTGCTCTCCACAGTGTGTTTAAGTTTGGGTAATTTTTTTCACCTTAATCTATTCTTTCTTTGGCAGTGACAAGTATAATGAGGAACTTGTGGAAGACACTGTGCATCTATTACTATTCTTCATTTCTTCTATTTCCATTCGGTTCTTACTTTCCATCTCTCTGCCCCAATTATCCATGTAACTTTGCCTGTTGTGCCCCTTTTCCATCAGAACATTTACCATATTGCTCAGTCGTTTTGATAGTCCAACAGCTGCGTCATTAGTATTACTTCTGAGAATAGCTGTTTCTTGGTGGGGATGAGTGGGAAGTGTTGATTTTTCATGCATTTTTGTATGACCTGTAATTTTTTTTCCCTGAGGTATCTTGTGCACAGCTGTAGAAACAGAGGTAAGTCCTGGAAAGGATGTCTTTCTTCTATTAAACCCTAATTGTTGGGTGGTGCTGAGTACAGTCAGGAATTGGGCTAGGCTTAAAAGTTTGTTGATGCTGTGGTTACCCTGAGTTCACACCAGGATTCAAATACCACTAACAACTACTTTTAGGGCAAGGCTGATTTTCCTGTGGGTTTATCTCAACATCTAGGTCATATTCAGGTTGGATTCTGCCTCAGAGACAGTCCAGATCTATTTTCATTCAAATAGTTAAGTGCTCACCATGTACCTATGTACAGTTCACTGTATTAACTGCCACAATGTGTTAACTTCCCCAGTACTCTACTGCCTTCTGCCATTATTTTATGCACTTACTTTCCTGTTGGTCTTCAATAGCTGTGAGCCCAGTAAATTTTGCTCCTTTTAATACTCTCACCACCACTTCCCAAACTCAAAGCCTCCATCACCACGGAGTTCATTATCCTTTTCTCTGTAGGACCTATGCACCTTGCATGTTTATCATTTTTAATATCCTGTATCCCCTAGTCAGTAGTAGGTGCCTGTAGGCATAACAGCATCTTATTAGTTTGGCAGTGACTGGCCCATGACAGTAACAACCATGACAAATGTTCAGGTGAGATATTTGCTGAAGGCCAACTGTAAACCCAAAGGTATCTCTTCAAAGTACTGTCATAACAGCTCTTCCTCCCCAGTCTAGTGATCAGGCATTATTCTTGTCAATTACATTTCCAAGATTTTCTTTAAAGCAAATTCTTCTTAGTTTGGATGTATTTCTAAAACTCATGTAATGCAAAAGAATTAAAATTACTAAGAATGACATCAACAATTTAAGAGGGCCACTAAAAGCTGAGAGGACACATGGGCCTGGAGCGATTCTGCCTATATGGCACTCACAGAAATGCCTTTAAGAGACAGAGTTATGAGAATGGGCCTAACAAGTGTTTGATGAAAAATTCTCAGTGATGCAGATGGAATCCAGGGCTTCACACATGCTAGAGAAGTGTTCTACCACTGAGCTACATCTCCAACTCAGAGTGGGGATTTTTGACTAGGTCAGAAATAAGGCAGCAAGGATAAGCAATTCTCAACAACCAATTCCAAGTTAGTTTTATTTTGCTATCCCAACGCACTCCTGAAATCCCCAAGAGGGTTGAGAAATGCAACAGGCAGTGAGGTAAGGTTGAAAAAGCAGGTGACTGTGGGCAGGTCATCCTCCTGCCCCTCCCCACTATTCAGATGTATTACTATTGATCTGGAACCAACTTATAAGAGACACTGGGCGAGGAATTAACAAGGCAGGGGAGGCAGTGTGGGTGTGTGTATAAAGAGAAGGAGAAAAAACATGCCTCTCCATGAGCCTTCTCTGTGCCGGTTGCTCCAAGTAGTTATTTATTTTAAAGCATTTAAGTGATTATCTTCCACACAAGTGTGACTGAGAAGTACACTGCCATGCATGTACACCTCACAACTTCACTGTTTTCTCACATGTGGTCAAAGGTAGACTGACCTCATGTCTATGTTTCTATAAAGTTGTCTTAACAAGATACAGATGTTCTCAAAAGTAGCTTTCACAGAAGGAAAACTTATACAGAAGAGCTTGTGTACAGTCTAACCACATAAAAGAACTATGAGTTTATTTCTTACACAGTTCACACAGATGGAAAGGTGCTAAGTGTTATTACAGATGGTGACCAGCCGAAAGGAGAAGAGTCCCACATAAAAACCCAGGAGTTCTCCACTGCATTATTCTTCACAGGCTGCCATAACAACATACTACCTGGGGTGACTTAGCAGAAATTAAGTTCTCATGGTTCTGGAGGCTGGAAGTCCGAGATCAAGGTGTCAGCCTAGTCAGGTCCTGGAGCGGGCTCTCTTCTTGCTTGGTGTATTCTCACACAGTGCAGACCATCTCTTCTTCAAAGGGCAATAATCCCATCAAGAAGGCCCCATGGTCCTGACCTCCTCTCATCCTAACTGCCTCACAGAAGGCCCATTTCCAAGTACCATGACACGGGAGGTTTGGGCGGCAATGTATCAATTTTGTGGTGGTAACATATTCAGTCCGTAACAACACATATTCCACTAGTCACTCACTAAAGACTAGTGTTATTACATGAAAATACCAACATTTATTTATATAAATATAATTTGTTTTCAAATAAAAAAATAACAATTTCTGCCTGCTCTCAAGGTCCTCATTTTTCAGTACCTCCTGGTTCTTTCCCCTTAGTCTGTCTTGGGCATATTTGATTTTCACACCATATCCTCATATCCACAGGGACATCCGTAATGAGCACTGCTCCATACCATTATGAGCAATATCTTAACCATTCTTCTCCATTCTTATTTGTGTTTCAGTTAGTTGAAAGTCACACCCTGTTTTTCCAGGAAGTCCCTTCTATATGATGGTTCTAGTTCTGAGACAGACTCACACTCTTCCTTCATGTGACATTAAATCAGGTTCAAAATCCAATCCACAAAAATGGACTTCACAATTCGATTCTGTGGTAGGTGGGAGTGAAATATCTTCACTACTGCACTGTGAGAAACAGTCTTCATTCACCAAGACTGATTGGCCTTCTGAGCATGCTTCACTTGATTTCAAATCCTCAGGTCTAAGGTTACCAATTACTTTTGTACTTTGGCTTCCAACCTGGGGCACTTCATCAAATGTTCCATATATATGAAACTTAAATACAGACCTACCTTATGATGGCTGGACTTAGGAGTTTTCGGCTTTACAATGGTGCAGAAGCGATGCACATTCACTATGAACTGTACTTCAAACTGTGATCTTTTCCTAGCCTGGTGATAGGCAGTAGAATACTCACATGATGAGGGATAGCAGCAGTCAGCTGGCTTCAGGTAAGCCACGAGATCATGAGGGTTAGCAACTGATACTCTACATTGTACGATGTTGCTAAGCTATGATGTTCCAAAGGTCAGATGTATTAAATGCTTTTTTACAATATTTGTAACTTACGATGAGTTTACAGGGATACAGCCCCATCATAAGTGAAGCAACACCTGTACACTTTCCCATGCCTCTGAATGCCTTCCTTGATAGCCTCAAACTTAGCTTTTACAGATTTAACACCTTAGGCTTTTTCTTCAGAATGTGTGTTCTGATGTCGAATCAAGGATGAACTTCGACTGTATGCCTTACCACATTTACTACATTCGTATGGTTTCTCTGAAGAATGACTTCTCTGGTGTCGAATGAGGTCTGAGCCACTGCTAAATGCCTTCCCGCACTCATTACACTCATAGGGTTTCTCTCCAGTATGACTCCTTTCATGTAGGATGAGGGATGTGCGCTGACTAAATGCCTTCCCACAGGTTTTACATGTGTACGGCTTCTCTCCAGTGTGGATTCTTTCATGCTGGGCAAGGTGTGCACTCTGGCTGAAGGCCTTTCCACACTGATCACATTCGTAGGGTCTGTCTTCAGTATGAATTCTCTTATGTCGAGTAAGAGATATGCGGTGACTGAAGGCCTTCCCACATTCTTCACATTGGTAGGGTTTCTCTCCAGTATGAATTCTTTGATGTTCAATAAGAAATGACTGGCGACCAAAAACCTTACTGCATTTATTGCATTTGAAAGGCTTCTCCTCAGAATGGATGTTCTGGTGGATTTTCAGGTTAGCAGTCCCAGAAAACATCTTTCCACATTCCTTACATTCAAAGAGTTTCTTCTTCCTCTTATGGACTTTCTGATGTTGAATAAGGGACGAATGCCGATTGCAGACCTTCTCACACTTGTTGCATCTGTACTGTCTGTCTCTGTTGTGAATTCTTAGGTGCAGAATAAGGGTTGACAACCGTCTGAAGTCCTTCTTGCATTTCTCACATTTGTAGGGTTTCCCTGAAGTGTGAATTCTCTGATGAAGCATAAGGGGTAAAATCCTATTAAAGGGTTTCCCACATTTTCTGCACTTAAAGGGATTCTCTAAGTGTTGACTTTTCTGCTGTAGATTCTGAATTAAAGCCTTCTCACTTTTGGGGGGTTTCTCTCCAGTTCTTTTATGTAGAACAAGGGATGGCTTCTTTTTGAAGCCTCTACCCCGTTTTGTGCATTTCTGTGTTTTCTTTCTTCTGTGAACTCTCTTATGAAGTAGAAGTGATGACCTCCGTCTGAAGGCTTTCCCACATGCTCTGCAATGGCGGACAGTCTCAACAACACACACACTGTGATGTCCACTGAGAGCTGGGCATGAGCTTGAGGCCTTCCCGCCATCAAAAGTTCCCTCTCCACTATGAATTCTCCTGTGCAGAATAAGGCCTGTTTTTTTATTGAAAACTTCTCCACATTCATCACATACATAGCGTGTTGGTCCATTGTGAATTCTCTGATGAAGAATAAGGGATGAGACTTGTCTGAAAGCTTTTTTACAATTACTGCATTCATAAGGTCTCTCTCCAGTGTGGGTGTTCTGATGAAGTTTGAGAGAGAAACTTCGACTAAAGGTTTTCCCACAATCATTGCATTTTAAAGATTTCTTCCCTGAATGTCCTTTCTTGGGTTTTCTTAGAAATGAATTTTCCCTCTTCCCTGTGGGAATCTTTTGTTGTGAAGAAACTGGTTTCTGATAGATGCTTTGCTCAGATTTGTTGCACTGAGTTGGTGGTAACTTCTTGGTCTCACTCTTAGACCCTAAGTCTGAAAGACACCAAGAAATTAAACATTTATTTTTCTGTGCTGATAACATGAAGCTCATATAACATAAACATAGCATTATCATCGTTAAGTCATAGTAACAGCAATAATAAATACCAGAAAACTAACTCTCAGCACCTTATGATGGTTTCAATGACCATATTATGAGCTTTACAGATATATTTAATAACTGGAATTCAGGAGACCTTGAAAATTAAAAGTGAATAAAGCACATATTTTATTTACAGAATAAATTTGATACTATATACCACAATGAATGCACAGATTGTTCATTAGATACATGTATTTTTATTGTATGAAATATTCATAAAAGGCAAACCTAGAGAGATAGAAGATGAGTGGCCCCCTGGGCTTTGAACTGGGAATTCATTAATGTTAAACAGGTATGATGGAGCTTATGAGGTGGGGTGATAAAGATGTTCTAAAACTAGACTGGGGCAATGGTTATACAACATGGTAAATTATCAAAAATCACTGAACGATACTCTTAAGCAGCATGAATTTTATGATGTAAATTATATGTGTAAATCCTAAACATGTATTCTTCAACATCAAATCTTGAAAAAACACAACAATAGCAACTAGAATTGAGCATCTAGACATTTAGATGGGGGAAAACTTTAAACTTAGAGAAGTCAGAAAAACTCCAAGGAAACAAGGTAACAGATTAGACTAAAAAGGTCTATTATTTAGCAAAATGTCAAATTAGAATATGACACAAAGGCCCAAGATGATTTAAAATAACTACTTGTGCCAGGCGCCACAATGCCTATGCTCAGAAGGTAGAGGCAGGAGGATCATGAGCTCGAGGCTCGCTTGGTTTACATGTGAGACCCTATCCAAAAGAAGTTAAAAAATAAAAGAACTACTTGCATTGTTATAAGCCTGAGTTTGTGTAGCATAAGAAACAGAAGACAGGGTTTAGAACTGTGTCATCCAGTACAGTAGCTGCAATTTATAGGCAAATAGTTGAGCACCTAAAATATGGCTAGCTGGACATGAGATGTGCCATGACTAGAAATAAACACTGGATGGTGAAGATTTAGTACAAAACAGGGATATGAAGCATCTTGTTGTGAGAATACTGGTAAATAGTACTGTATTTTGGATTTTCTGGGTTAAATGAAAGTATTAAAATTAACTTCATCTGCTTTTAAGCCATCTTAATGCAGATACTAGAAAAACAGGTTAAATGTGTGGCTCACACTATATTTTTGCTGGGCAGCGATGCTCTAAATGGACTTGGCTCACAGGAGTGTTAATTGTTTGTCTCTACCTCTGTTACCATCTTGCTCTTTCTGGTGGATACAGCTGCCTCCACCCTTATGGGATTTTGGTGAGAACTGGAAATAATATACGAAACTTTCAACACACACTATACTCCTCTATCTGCCATTTCAATACTCATTCAAGAACTAAAGCTTTCTTTTTTGTTTGTTTCTCAATATTTGGAGCAAGAACGCCTAAAGTACAATGAGGCTATTCATAACCTTAATTTATCACCCTCGAGAAGACTACTGTTGTGTCTGATGTTGGGTACTGCTCCAGCACTGCTGGGGACATTATCAATGTGTGGCACATGACCTGTTACCCTTTCTCATGTGAGTAAGTTTGGATCTGAGGGCCTTGGAATTTGTTTCTTGACCTTATTTGTACTAGACATCCACACTGCTCTACTCACATTGCATGGCCATACTAGAGTTCCTATACATTTGGTGGAATTTCTTTTCTGACTTTACTTGTTCTCTTATAAATCATCTCCTCATGATCTGTCTCTCTTTGACAGTGATTTTGTGGATTTGTTTGTTTTTAAGTTTTATAGGGTGCTTTACTGTTCAAAAGACATTGACCATTTGATATCACCTTGCACTTCATACATTTCCCCATTTTGTCTTATGGCTTACTTTATTTGCCTCTTGTTTTTTTATTTGATTACGTGAAAAGTTTTTATTTGTTTTTACATTTTCATATGGTTGAAGGTATTGACATTCATGTTGTTATGTATAGTTAGAAATTTATCTGCAATGTCAAAATATGGATAGGCCCTTGCATTTTCACTATGCTGCCATCTGCTTCTTTTTATTACACACTTTGTTGTGGTTTGGATACAAAGTACCTGCCCTCCCCCAAAAAAGGCTCAAGTATTAACAATGTGGTCCCCAGCTGGTGGATCCAAGCATTGAATGGGAACTGGACCATGAGGGCTGTGACCTAATCCATGGGTAATCCCTTCATGGAGTCATAATTTGACAGGATTATCAGGAGGTGTTAGAAAGGAAGAAGTATGTCACTGGGCATGTCCCCACCTGCGTCTCCTTCCTCTCTCTCTGCTTCCTGCTCTCTAAGGTGAAAAGCCTGTCACACATTCCCACCACCATGATGTTCTGCCTAACCTCAGGCCCAGAGAAATGATTCAGCATGGACTGAACCTCTGAAATCTGAAACCAAAACAAATCCTTCCTCTTTTTAAGCTGTTCTCTCAGTTGTATGTCACAGTGGTGAGATACTGACTAACATACACCCTTACATCTTGGAAGTCACCAAGATGAAAGGAATGCAAGGTGGTGGCATTTCCTCCTGGCTTACACCACACTGCTATGTCTATCTCCTGGCATGGTGTGTCCCACATCCAAGGAAAGACTCAATGCATGCTATATAAGACAAAGGTAAATTAAAACATGCATGACTGGGCCACAATAGAGGAAACCAATGGTGAAGGAAGTGAGTCAAAGATTTTTTTTTAGTTTTTAAGGACTGATATGACTCTGATTATTACCATGTCTAGTGTCATCATCAAGAGGTCAGCACATACCTTCTATGAGGGAGACATGAACAGAGACATGAGTGGCGAGGACAGAGGGCGGCCAGGCTCCAAATCTAGCTCTGCTACTACTCCCTAGCCGGGTGACCTTAGACAAATCAATGAACCTTTCTGGGCCTCTGTTTGCTTTCTGTAAAGTAGGGGTGAAATCAGTACCACCCACAGCATTGCTGGGACACAGAGGAGCACCTTGTGCCAAGCTGAAGCTCACTGAGTGTCCATTATCTCCTTCTAAGGACTTACACCAAGACTTGACTCTACAGGCCCAGTGCCTCTGCCTTGTCCTACAGTGAATGCTCCCTCACGGCTCTTACGCAGGATGCCTACTCCTCACCACAATAGATTAAGTGCTGTGTCCACCCCAAAGTCGGTATGCTGAAATTGTCAGCCCCCAAGGTGATGATGTTTGGAGGCGGGGGGTTGGGAAGCAATTGAGTCATGAGGGGGAGCCCTTTTGCATAGGATAAGTGCACTTATGAAAGAAGCCCTGAACACCGCCTCATCCCTTCCACCACAGGAGGACATCAAGCAGGTATCACCTATGAACCATGAAGAGCCCTCACAAGATACTGTGGCTGCCCAGCACCTTGATCTTGGATTCCCCAGCTTCCAGAAATGTACAAGATAAAACTCTGTTGATTACAAGCTGCACTGTCCATGTACTGTTACAACAACCTGCATGGCTGAGAAGCACACCTTGGTGGTCAGTCACTTACCAGGGCCCCGGCGTCGTCTTGATGGCTCCACTACCCAAGGTGCTTTCCCTTTTTCCAGTAAGGTGATGATGTTTGGCCTCCGAAAGGAAAGACCTGCACAAGGACAAACGTGGGGGCTGACCATGATGTGGGCACCACAGATGTCAGAGCCAAGCCCTGCATCAACAGGATGAGTTTACCAGCACATCAGAAGCACATAGGATATAAAGGATAGCTGGAGAAGAGGGTGATACTGGTATTTAGGAGAAATGTACATTCGTTTTTCCTAGCACACAGCTCCCAAACCCTGACTCCAAAGCAGTGTCTTCTGCAAGCTAATGACATGATTGGTGGCCAGGAGCTCCTGAGATGAGAGGGCTTTCATCCCACCCACAAAGGAGCTCAGGACAGAGGAGTGGAGGCTGACTGCAAGTGGCCTGCAGTGTCACCAATCAAACTTACACAAAGAAGCCTCCATAAACCCAAAAAGATGGAGTTTGGAGAGATTCCAGGCTGAACAAGTGGTGGGTACTGCACTCAGAGAGGGCATGGAGAGGACATCTTCCTGTGCCTTGCTGATGCATATTTGCATCTGTATCCTTTGAGTATCTTTCATCCCAAACTAGTAAATTAAGTGCCTTTCTGAGTTCTGTGATATACACTATCAGATGACTGAACCTGAGAAGAGGAATCACAAGAAGTCACTTGTAAATCCCACAGGCCAGACTTGCAGCTGGGCCCTTAACCTATGGGACCTGATGCTGTCTCCAGGTAGGTGGTGTCAGAATTAGACTGCCAATGGGAATTCAAAGAGACTTGCCTGGTGTGTGGGAAACCCCCCAACCCCCCACATTTGGTGTCAGACTGCTCTGTGCTGAGTAGTGTGAGTAGGAAAAACAATTTGGTATAAAACATCTCCTACAGGGAAGATGAAATCTAAGTTATACCCAGCAGAGTTGTTCATTCTAACTCTTAAAAACCAATTACTTTCCTGAACATTGGGTCAGACACACCTGAAGGGAGTTATTAAGCTACTGTCTTTCTGCTACACTAGGGCTCAGGCTCTGCAGCCTATACTTCCCCTTTGCCAGCTGTCTCCCATCAACACCTAGCCACGGGGGTTGTTCCAATTTCCTATTTTCTTTTGGCCCCACACTCCCAAAACTAACCTCATTTGCCCCCTCAAAGGTACACAAACGAGGAGGTACACAAACTGCCAGGCTTGCAGCACTTCTCTTTAAGAAGTCATAGTATGAGGGATGGAGGAAGAGACCAGGAGAATCATGGTTCAAGGCCAGCCTGGGCAAAAGAGTTAGCTAGACCTCTGTCTCAACAAAACAAGCTGAGTATGGTGGCATGTGCCTGTCATCCCAGCTATGCAGGAAGCATTAAATAGGAAGATCTGGCCCAGGTAGGAAGTCCAGACTGGCCCAGGTAAAAATGTAAGACTCTATTTTGAAAATAACCAAAGCAAAAAAGGCTCGGGACATGGTTCAAGTGATAAGAGTGTCTGCCTAGCAAGCACAAAACTCTGGATTCAAACTCAGTACAGCCACAAAAAGAAAAAACAGACAAAGTATGAGTCCCAACTGTGGAGCCCTTCCTCTAAGTTCTAAAAAACCTCAAACTCTTCCCTTTGTCCCAGGAAGGGGGCTGCATCCTACTTACCATTTCTGTTACACAGTGTCCACAATTCTTTTTTTAATAACACGTGCCAATTCCTTAAACTCTCTCAAAACTAGGGTGTCCTCAAAAAATTAGCTTCCATATAACCTCCTAATTCCACTCATAAATATACACCCAAGAGAAACAAAAACATACAGCTACACAAAAACTTGCACAGAAATATTCCCAGCAGCAATTCTTAACTGAGAATGTCCACCCATTGATGAAAAGATGAAAGAGATGTGTTCTAGTCATACTATGACGTACTGTTCAACCATGAATAGGAGTGAAGTGCTGGGACAGACTACAATGGAGGAATCTCAAAATATCATGGTAAGCAAAAAAAGTCACATGTTGATAATTCCAGTAGCACAAAAAGCCCAAAGCCCAGAGCAGACAAAATGAGGACCAGTGGTTGCCTAATCTAGGCAGGGCAGCAGTGGGGGGGTGTGGTGAGTAGGTGGGCAGGGAAGTGAAGACTGACTGCTAATGTGTGCAGGGTTTCTTTTGGGAGCAATGAAAACATTCTGAAGCTGACAGGTGATGGATGTATAACTGCATGCACTGAAAACCACTGCACTGTGTACTCTACATCGGTGAACTGTTTAGTAGGTGAATTAGATCTCGACAAAGATGTTAAAAAAACCCCACAACTGAAGTGGCTTCCATTTTCCTGAGTAGACCAACTGATATATGGGTTTGGATTATGTGGGGAGGAGAGCCTTACCGAGTGAGACCAGGTTCTGATAGTTCTCCAGCATGACATCTTTGTACAAATCCTTCTGTATGGGGCTCAGCAACTCCCACTCTTCTTGGGAGAAGTAGATGGCCAAGTCCCCAAATGTCACTGGTGCCTGAAATGGAAAATCATACGTCCACTCACCATGGGCTTATGCTTCCACATGGCTAGAGAAAGTGGGGAACTTGTCTCAAACATGGGAGATACATGGTGTCATGAAGCATTCAGGGAACATTTGGGGTTTCGAGGCCAAAGGGCAGGTGTGTTAAATAAATGCAATTAAATAACATGTAATGCAGAATGATTATGGCTGGTAGTAAAAATTATGTTGGGCTGGCAGAGTGACTCAAGTGGCAGAGCAACTGCCTAGCAAGGACCAGGCCTGAGTTCAAACTCTAGGAAAAAAAATATTGCATCAAAAACAGGAACTTGGATCTACTGGGCATTTCCGAAGTCAAAGCATTTTCTACGCACCTGATTAAGAGTGATTAATGCTCTATTCAAGCTAACCACAGACAAGGCAGTGTTAACAGCACTACAGGAACAATACAGATGAGGAAAACGAAGCCCGCAGAGCAAAGGTGACTTACTGCTAGTCACATAACTACAGAGGAGTGGAGGTTCAACCAGGCTTCTAGAGCCTGACTCAGGCTCCTAACACAGGCTTGGTACAGAGCACATGAGTACATTACACACAGCAAAGGGTTCCTTGCAGGTGTAAGCAAGACTACTCACCAGTTGATCTTAACACAGGGATACTTTAAAATAGGGACATCATCCAGGCCTTGACCTGTGTGGCTTAGCTACCAGTTGTTGCAGTTTTGAGGATGGAAAAGGGGCATTGCGGAAGGTATGAGACAGAAATGAACAACCAGCAAACCTGAAAGAAAACCTGAGGCACCCTACCACCCCATGAGAACTCAGCCAATGGACACCTTGATTTCAGCCCTTCGAGAACAGGGCAGAGGACTCAGTTAAGCCACGCCCTGCCTGGACCCCAACCCACTGAGGCATGGTAAAAAATGTGTGCTGTTCTGAACTGACGACTTTGTGGTGAGCTTGTTGAAGCAGCAAGGAAGAACAAACCCACCTCAGAGATAGGTGTGTTTGTTATTGGAACTGCACCTAAGATGCTTGCTGAGACAACCACCTGATCATGTCTGGTGGTGAGGCACATTGATCACAGCTGGCTGCTGCATCTCAGTGCTTGGATTCCAACATGCCCCATGGAAGAAAGGGCTGCACAGGGCCACTTAGATGTGGACCTTAGCAAGGAAACTTTCCTCCATACTAATATGGGTTTTTCAGTGGGAAACAAAGTCACAAGATGGGATTAACGTGGTACATGTCAAATCCCCTTTGCCTCTGCAGGTCTTACCTGGGCACTCATCCCCACCCAGCAAGTCCACAGGGATGTCGTCCTCCCTCTGGGGAAGACATTTCCCTAGCACCCTGGAGACCCTGGGGATGCTGACTGCACAGTGAGTGGGTGGTTTCCTAGGCCACTGGGTCATGGGAGAAAACCAGGGACCAGGTATCACCTTGGGTCTCCTGTGGGCAGGAAGTGTTGGATAACAAGACAGGATGGAGTGTCCTGCACAGAGAAGATGGCCACTCACCTTGGATCTGGAGTTCCCTCTTACAGCAGGCATCCTTTTCCCTCTTGAGGGTCCTCAGTCAGGGGGGTAGAGCACTGGCAGGCAGAACTGGGGGAAAGAGAGGTCATAAGACCAGGTGACCTTCTGCGTGGTCCCAGAGTCCCTGGGCCCCTGGCCTGGACACACATGCTCAAAGGCATCTGGATGGAGCATGCCTGTCTCCTTCCAGGATCAGGGAAGGGCAGGGCCCACACTGTGTACTGCTAAGATCATGGTAGGCTCCTGCTCAGGATGCAAACGAGAAACATGGCAGACACCTGCTCATCCATTTGACAGATGCAGGTTACTGAGCACCTGTAGGTGCTAGACTCTATTCCAGGTGCTGGGGGAGAGGAGAACAGTAGGTGCTCCCTGCTCCCTTTGTTTTGGGCAGGGAAGACAAGTCCATACAGAGGACAATGATAGCTGAGGTTATTGCTATGAAGGAAAACCAGGAGGCTAGAAAGTGATAAAGTGGTCAGAGAAGGCTTCTCTCTCCAAGGTGGCCACAGTGAGCTGAGATCTGAACGTAGTGAGAGTGTGAGCTGCAAGGGCACAGGGAAAGCATTCCAGGTACAGGTACAACAGGTGCAAAGGCCCTGTGGCAGTCTGGGGCTTGCTACTTAAAGGGAAGCATGGAGTTTGCTTGTGAAAGCAGAGTGAGTGAGGCAGGGAGGACAGCAGGCAGGCCAGGGAGATGGTGGTGAGCAGCTTGAATCTGATACCAAGTGTAACAAGGCATCACTGGGGGAGAGGGGACAGGGTCTGAGCAGGGAAGCCTCTGTCCTGAATTGGTCTACAATGTAGATGCCACCACCCACATGTGACAAATGGGCAGGGGTGAGAAGACTAGTGTAGCTGAGGAACTATTTTAATTTCAATTAATTTAATATTAAAACAATAATTAATATTTTTTAAAATTACTAAATTAAAAAATTCATTATGCCTGTAATCCCAGCTACTCGGGAGGCAGAATGGGGAGGATTGCTGTTTGAGGCCAGGCCCAGGCAAAAAGTTTGTAAGACTCCACCTCAGCCAACAAAGGTCGGATGGTGGTCCATTCCTGCATTTCCAACTACAAGGTAGATGTTAAGTATGAGGATTACAGTCTGAGGTCAGCCCTGGGCAACAAACATAAGACCCTATACAAAAATAAAAAAATAGTAACTTAGAGCAAAAAGAGATGGAGGCATGGCTTAAGTGCTAGAGCACCTGCCTAGCAAGCACAAGGCCCTGAATTAAAATCCTACTACCACCAAAATGAAAAGCTAGTACTCAATTCAGTTACTGTAAAATGTTTAAATATGTATTCAATAACTTGGTATGACTCTTATTTTTCTGATGGTAAATTTAATGAAATTTAAGTACGGCTCAAGTATCTCCGATGAAAAATTAAGTATCCAGATTGAGACTGGCCATTTGTGCAAACCTCATAATGATTTCAAAGACTTGATATGAAAACAAAAGAATATAAATTGCCTTATAAAAGAATATAAATTTTTTCTATGGTTGTATGTCAAAATGCTAATGCTGTGTATATATTGAGTTAAATAAAATGTTATTAAAATGGACTTTAATGATGACAAATTTGTTTCTTTTTTACTTTTTCTCAGCATAGTTGCTGGGATATTTTAAATTATATGTCTCATTTATGTTTTTTCAGGACAGTGCTCCCCAATTACAGCATCTACATTATATACTGTGCCATTTGCTTCAGAGCACTTACTACTGGGGATTGAATCCTGAGCCATGTGCATGCTGTACTACTAAGCTACATCCCAGCCAAAATGCTCACACCTGTGTTTACGTGGTTAATATTGCTCTCCCCCACCCACCCACACACATGGATTAGGTTCAAGAGCAGAGATGGAGACTGTTCTGTTCACTGCTCTACTCCCAGTGAGCCACAAAGAGCAGGTGCTCAGTACTTGTACTAACTCAGTAACATCCTGAATGTGCTTCCTGATTGCTGAACTGAGCTGGAATTCAACGTTTCTATGCTGAAACCACAGAGGAAGTTCTGCTGGCACACACACCAAAGCCTCCACCCGGAAAGCGTGAAATCTACTCAAGAGTAAAAGCACAGTGTGATGGACACCTGGTCACTCTCCAGGTTAATATATTCCTTAGATTTACAAACACGGAGTCACTGGAAAGTAACTTGCAGACCTGAGAATGTTCAACTTTAAACACTTATGCACAAATCTCTGAAAAATGCCATCCAAACACTCTGGTGCCAAAAACAGTGGCTATGTCCCAAAAGCTCTTTCTGTGATTTTTTTTCTATGAAAAAAAATACAGCAGGATTTGGTGTGGGAAATGGAAACAGGAATCGTTCCCTGGAAAAATGCTCTTTGTCTCTCCCTGGAGATGGGGGAAGATAAATGAAACCAAGGCCAAGCCTATGGTCTGCCTTATCTGCTAGGTTTTTTGTGTGTATGATTGTTTTATGGTACCAGAGATGGAGCCCAGGGCCTTGTGCATGACAGACACATGAGTCATGCCCCTAGTCATTTTTGCTTTGGTTAAGTAATTATTTTTGTGGTACCAGAGTTTGAATTCAGAGCCTGGGCTTGCTAGGCCAGTATGCTACCTCTTCAGCCACGCTTCCAGCCCATGCATTGGTTATTTTTTGAGATAGGGTCTCTTATTTATGCCCAGGCCATCCTGGACTGAGATCCTCCTATATACCCTTTCTGTGTAGCTGGGGTGACAGGCACATGCACCACACCCAGCTTTCCTCAGTTGAGGTAGGGTCTTGAAAACTTTTTCTCCAGGCTAGACTTAAACTACAATTCTCCAGATTGCTGCCTCCCAAGTAGCTATGATTACAGTCTTAAGCCACCTACCTGGCCTTATTTTGTTTTTTGAGATAGGATGTCAGTAACTTTTCCTAGGCTGTCCTCAAACTCACTTGAGATCCTCCTGCTTCTGCTGCCCAATAATGGACATGTTTTGATGCAAAATGTGAATCATAAGATGGTCTGTGCTGTTTAAGAGAACCCACACAGGCTGGGCACCATTGGCTCATGCCTCTAATCCTAGCTACTTGGGAGGCTGAGATTGGGAGGATCGAAATTCAAGCCAGCTGGGGCAAAGAGTTATCAAGACCCCCATCTCCAAAATAACCGAAGCAAAATGACAGGAGGTGTGGCTCAAGTGGTACAGCACCTGCTTGGTAAGTGGGAAGCCCTGAGTTCAAACCCCAGCCCATCAAAAAAAGAACCCACAGAAAATGCTGGGTTTATAATGCTCCTTTCTCTGTAGGACAGAGCAATAGTAAGAATAGTCCTACGTAGTGTTAATTATTAACAACTCTAGTAATAATTGAATGCTTACATGTGCAGTTTGAAGTCATTAAGTCTGTGGCAATCTGTCACAGCAGCAATGGGACACCAATACAGTAACTTTCCACCATTTTCTTACAGTTCGTGAACCCAATCAATGACTGCTTCTGCTGTATCAGTGGCTCGATGCTGAAAGAAAATGTATGATTCAGGAAAAATCTCAGAGATGGGCTGGGATAAGATGAAGGGCCAGTTGGTGATGGCTGAGGCTAACCTTTGAGGTCAGTCCTACAGACAGAGAGGGCCCTGCGACACCAGCCCTGTCACACACACACTCAGTTTAATCTCAGGCTACCCTGGTTAGGAAGTACACACAACCATAGGCAACTTTGAGTCCCACAGGCCAGGGTGGGTGCCACCTTCCCCTCAAAGGCACACTCCTGCAGAAACAAGTAAGGCACGTGCATGTATGTCTGGGGCGGACACCACTGCTCCACTGGAAGACAGACCTCTGCTATGGGAGGAAAAACGCCCAGTACCAAGTGCACACGTGGAAACTCCTTTGGGATGGGCCACTACAGCTCGACCTCTGCATGGGGTCAAAGAACATCCACTATCAGCACTACAAGAAAGGCCAACCCCACAGAAGCTCAGCTCAGTAAGTGCCAGGTTTTGCGGGGATGGTATTTCAGCTGTCACCCCGTCTCACCTTCCCATCAACATGCAGCCATCATTTTACCCGAAGCAGCTCATCACACGCACGGCTGCGCAGTTTCTCCCCGCGCACGACACCGTTTCCACAGTGACGATCGAGATGTGGTGCACACGGTCACGTTGACGCTTGGTCTCCAGGTACAAATATAAAGAGCCACCCACATTAGCCAGGGTGTCACATGCACGCTGCTCCAGCGACAGAAACGCTCAGAGCACGCTCCCGCTTCCTTCCCATACGCCGCCATGAGTCCCACGCCACACTCGCCTGGCTAGCGCGCGCACACACACGGAGCCACCGTGTCACCCGCCCGCGCGACCAGACACACACGCCCGAGCCGGCAACGGGAAACACCCTGCGTGCGGTCAGAGGGGCACCACTGCGTCCACGCACCCACCAACGCCAGAGCGCAAGCCCCACAGTCTCGGGCCCACCGCCCCACGCAGTCACTTAACCGCCTGCAGTCGCCCACGCACAACCCAGCGCAGTAGCTCAGCACAATGCTCTCGCCGACGTCCCCATGTACTCGTTCTCCCCCTCACCTGAGTCCTCGCGGGTCAGGTTCCCATAGTTTCCCGAGTCGCAGCAGCACCACCACTGCGCAACCGGCGTCCCCCCCCCCCGCCTGCGCCCCGCCCCTCACGCGAAACACATAGGCGGGCGCGGCCCCGCCCCCAGGGCTTCCCTAAGCGCTCAGAGCCACGCCCCCTCACGCCTAACGACCTACGCCAGCACGCTCACGCAATCAGAGCCCGAGCGGCAAGGCGCGGCCACGCCCTCGTGGCACGCAGGACCGCGCGCGAACAGGGCCTTCATTGGACATACCTCAGCTCCATTGCTCTCACCTGGTGAAGTCGCGTTTACGCGCTCCGACATGGAGGCCCTTGCCTTATCGATTCGATCAAACCCAACTCCTCCGTTTGTCGCCCTGCCGATGTCCACACGGCAGGTTCTCGTCCGGGGGCTTCTCGTCCAGAATCCCGCTCCGCGGGTTCTGTGGGTATAACGGGTTTATGACGCGCACACTCGCGCTTCACGACGTGAAGTCAGCCTACAACTTCCAAAGGCCTTCGGGGCGTGGCGCAACTGTGGCTGGCCACGCCCATAAAGGAGGCTCGGGCCGTACTGGCTCCGGTCCATCTTGGAGCAAAGTGACCAGAAGGGTGGCGGAGGGACGTTCCTCCAGGGTTTAAGTGGGGACACACACTCACGCCTTCTTAAGACAAGGGGAACCTAAAGATCTTTGCGCAGCTTCCACACTATAGAAGCCCGTGTGGGCCGTTTCCGCCCCGTGTGGCACTACGCCTGCGCAGTGGGTTGAGCGGGTGTTGTGAGGGAGGGTGCAAGACTCTGTAGAAGTTGTAAAGTGCGGCTCTGCCCCGGCTGATGCCTCCTGGTGGGTTCCGGGTTGTGATTGTGCTTTTATGTGAAACCCGGTTTGAGTTTGTGGGTGTGTGTAAGGATGAACTGTTGTAAGTCCGTGTGCACCCAGCTTTTGTGGATCACGTGTGTGTGCAACCTCTGATCCTAAATACATGTGCTCGTTCGTGTCCGTTGCAGCGGAGGCCGTCGGTCCCCGCCAACCCTGAAATACCTGACATCTGACCCTCTGGAGTCCGGTGTTTGTGTTCTGACCCTCTGGAGCCCGGTGTTTGTGTTCGTGTGTTGTGCGGGTGTGAGCGGACACCCTTTTGTGGAGTGGCCGTATGCGTGGGGAGCTGACTGGACGGGTATATTCACGAGTGGGCCGCGGCTTCTTTTGTGCAAGGGCCGAGGTCGATGGTTGCAGCTGGATCTTATGGCTCCCAAAGCCTAAAATATGCATTACTGGACAGTCTGCACAGCCGTTCTTGTGGTTGTGTGTGAAAGGCCGTTTCTGTCTGTGACCATGTGTGTACCCAGTGTGTTGAGAACCAGTGTTTGTGTTTGTAGGGATGTGTGAGAGGAGCCCAGGACTTGTGACTTCACCCCTGGGATCCTATGAATGAGTGAGTTTTGGGGACTAGATATTGAGTGATGGGATGAAGGCGTGGCTCAAGTGGTAAAACGCCTGCCGGGACGAGGCCCTGAGTTCAAATCCCACTAGTGCCAAAAAGAAACGTGAATATGAAGGCCAGGAATAGTGGTATACATCTGTAATCCCAGCTACTAGGGAGGCAGGAACAGGGGGATCAAGAACTTGAGACCGGCCTGGGCAAAAGCTAGTGTGAGAGCCTATCTGAAACAAAGTAAAGTCAAGAGGAATGGGGTCATGGCTGGAGTGACCCCAGCAAGCTGAAGGCTGAGTTCAGTTTCCAGTTAACACACACACACACACACACACACACACACAAGTGAATGTGGAGAGCTAGTTTTAGTTTCCTGTTTCTCTGACTTGGTGGTGGTAATAAAAATGGCAGCTAGCAAAGATGACCCTTAGGACTTTTACTGCTACCCGCCCCCATTCACTACTAGGATCGCAGCCAGCACTTAGTCATTGCTGTCCTTGGCCAAAAGTTTTCCACTTTAAACCTCTTCTGAGTTTTTTCTTGGCTACAAATCTCCATTTTCCAGGCACGTAAACTGCTGGCAGAGTGGCTCAAGCCATAAGAATGCCTCAAACCCCAGTGAAATGTAGTTTGAAAATCCAGGCATGTAAACTAAAGCACCAAGACATCAAGTAACATGCCCAAGCCCAGGCCTCACAGCAAGAAAGGATCAAGGCTGATTTTGAATCTAAGTCTTCCTGATTCTAAAACCCCTGCTCTTCCCCCTTCCTCCTCCTCCCCACCCCAGGATATGTCATTATAGCAAACTTCTTTGTGGACCAGGAGTTTCTCCTGAGTACCTGGTAGTACTACAGCAAGGGGTGTGGACAAGAGACCCAGGAAGCCTCAGGATGAGGCTGTTAACTTGGCATTTTCTTTAGTAGTTCCTTACACCCAAAAGTGAGAGTCATTCTTTTTGCTTTTTAGGGAGACTTAGGTGGAAAGTTTGGGAAGCCCTGAACTGAGGAAAAGCTTTATGCATCCAGAGCCCACATGTCCTAGTGCAAAGGGTCCAGTGACCAGGTCCTGATCAGGCTCTGATGGGACTGTCTGAATGAGGCAGTCTTGCTTCATTTGGGCTTTGGTTTTGTTTGTTTGCACTAGTGGGGACTGAACTGAGGGCCTCAGGCTTGCTAGGTAAGTGCTCTTCCACTTGAGCCACACCCCCAGGTCTTTTGCTCTTAGTTTGTTTTTCAGGTATTTTGCTTAGGTTGGCCTCAAACCACAATATTAACTCCATTTCCACTGTAGCTGGAACTACAGGCATGCTTGGCCCATGAACTTTATAAAAAGGCTGGAATTGTTTCCCCAAGGATTCACGAAGGGGTGGGCACCCCAGAGCCCTGGGGTTGGGGAAGATAAGAAGCCAGAATCCCCAGGAAAGAGCTGCTGTGGGACTGGAGATCAAGCTTGCTGTGGTAGATGAACCTGCCACCCAAAATGAAGACTTGCATACATGTGTCCACAGGCACGTGTGTTTTGCCATTGGCATTGTGCCTGGTGCTTGTGCACCAGTGTGTGTGTGTGTGTGCTTGAGGCTGGGATTGTGACAGTGTGGTTGTGTGTGACTGTATGTGAGGACTGCTGAACTCTGAGACCCAGGAGTTTGGGTGTGGACGCCTCAGCATTATTCCTTCCTGTCTAGAGTTGATACTGGGAGCTGAGTATCCTCCACAGGATGACAGTAAGCCCATCTTATTCATGGATTTTTACACATGGTTGTGACCAAGCATGGTCAGAAATAATAATAAAAACAAATTTCAAAAACATAAAATTTGAATTCCTACATATGCATTACGCAGCTCAGCTGATGCAGAGAAACTGTCAGTCCCACTTGATCATCAGCTGTGTTTAAATCATGATCTGCTGAGTGTTCCCTGCCCTTCATTTTGTGAAGGTTACCTCCAAAAAAGCAAATGGTGCCCAAAGACCAAGGTAAGTTACGCTAATCCTCCCAAGCCAAAATGGACACATAGTGTGCTTAATTGAACAGATAAAGTGAAAATTTGAGATTTGTTGAAATGTAGCATGTCTTTACTGGAAGCTGGGCAGCGTTAAGGAAAAAATGAGTCAAGCATCTGCAGTACAGCACTGAACTGCATTCATCCTGAGCATGCATGGTTTTTCCTCCCTGCAGACTCCTGGGAACCATGTACCCACAGATACCAGGGTTCTCCCTATGTGAGTTGGAAACCTAACAGACCTATGTTATAAATCATATAATGTGTCATGTAAACATTAAATGTATCTTAATACTGTACATATGTATTATGAAAATCACTACAGCCATTCTATATTCATACAGATGTCACATGACTGAGGTGAAATAAGAGTGGGATTATAAAACACCACACATAGCACAGAGCAGATGTTTGCTGACTGAGTGATGGTAAGAGGACAGGCTATGGAAGAGTCAGCTTCCGTGCCCTGCTCCAGGCTTGTTTGTTCCTGTGTTCAGGACAAAGCCACACAGATATGGAGATGTCTTGATGTTCAACTAAGTCATTGATGATGAGCAGTTGAGAAAAGTTACCTGCTAGGGCCCAAGATGGAAATCAAAGCTGAGCAGGTGCAAGGTGGGATTTGATGGAAATCAAAGCAGGGGAGGTGCAAGGTGGGATTTGTACATTAGTGTTGAGAAGGGAGCTACAGCACATTTATGTGACAGCAAAAGTGTCACTTGCACTTATGCCCCCTAGCACTAAAAGAGACCTGACAGGGCATTGTGAAATAAGCATGGGGCATGGTGGCTCACACCTGTAATCCCAGTAAATGGGAGGCTGAGGCAAGAGAATGACAAGTTTGAGGTAGCCTGGGCAAAGGTAGCAAAACCTTGTCTCTAAAAACAAAAGGGCTGGGGACATGGCTCAAGTGGTAGAGCACTAGCCTAGCAAGTGTGAGACCCTGATTAATCCCCAGCATTGGAAAAGAAAAAGTTAAATAAGCCAGACACAGTAAGACACATATATCCCATAATCTCATACATGGGACCTTAAAAAAGTTGAGCTCACAGAGTAAAATGGCAGTGTCCAGGGGCAGGTAAATGGCCAGCTATTGATCAAAGGATACAAACTTTCAGTTGTCAGATGAAGTACTGGAGATGTAATGCACAGTGGGCTGAATATAAAGAATGATACCATAAGTACTATCACAAGTGTTCTTACACACAGACACACAAATGTTTAATTTCACTATTCATCAATACATCCCATTGTACACTATAAGTATATGCAATTTTATTTGTCACACCTCAATAAAGCTGAGAAAACACATTGAATACATATTGTTTTCTTCATTTAATGTCACACTGTCATTTGATCAAAAACTGTCCTAAAATCTAGGCCTCTGAAATCCTGAAAAACAAAACAACTACCAGTGCACTTCCCTCATTCATTTAATGAAGCCAGGCATGGTGGTTCATGCTTGTAATCCCAGCTACTTGGGAGGCTGGGGCAGGAGGTTTGAGAGTTTGAGGTCAGACTGGACAACATAGCAAAGACTATCTCAAAAAATAAAAGCAAAAAGTGACTCAAGTGGTAGACTAAGCTTCAAGGGTTCAATCCCCAACACACCAAAAGGGGAAAAAAGAATTCTCTCTGCTCAACTCTTTCAAACAATAATATGGTGCATCCTCCTGTTGATGACAAAACGATGGTTAACTGCACTTCCAGGTAGTGACCACTGCACAACTACTGAACTATCTCAGGCAATAGTTTGCAGGCAGTGAGTGAACAAGAGTCTGGGCGAGGCTCGTGTGTGACGGGAGCCTGGCTGCCTGGGGATAGAATTATCCACCGTGGACAGAGATGGAATCTAGCAGAGCAGAACAGTCCCGCTAGGATATGGGGCACAGGTAAGAGCTCAAGCCATGCCTTGCCGTCCAGGGGGTACACCTCAAGGAACTGTCTCAGTTCCTCCCTTCTCTCTCAGACACAGCAAAGGAAACCTGATATGTTTTGCATCACAGTTGGAGAAACAAATATTTATAAGCAGTGGTGAAAGCAAACTTAACTAAGACCGATAGGAAAAAGAT